GTGCCCCCCTATAGCTCCGGTAACGGGGTCCTAGTGCCCCCCTATAGCTCCGGTAACGGGGTCCTAGTGCCCCCCTATAGCCCCGGTAACGGGGTCCTAGTGCCCCCCTATAGCTCCGGTAACGGGGTCCTAGTGCCCCCCTATAGCCCCGGTAACAGGGTCCTAGTGCCCCCCTATAGCCCCGGTAACGGGGTCCTAGTGCCCCCCTATAGCCCCGGTAACGGGGTCCTAGTGCCCCCCTATAGCCCCGGTAACGGGGTCCTAGTGCCCCCCTATAGCTCCGGTAACGGGGTCCTAGTGCCCCCCCCCATAGCTCCGGTAACGGGGTCCTAGTGCCCCCCCTATAGCCCCGGTAACGGGGTCCGAGCGCCCCCCTAACAGGGTCCTAGTGCCCCCCTATAGCTCCGGTAACAGGGTCCTAGTGCCCCCCTATGGGTCCGGTAACGGGGTCCTAGTGCCCCCCTATAGCTCCGGTAACAGGGTCCTAGTGCCCCCCTATAGCTCCGGTAACGGGGTCCTAGTGCCCCCCTATAGCTCCGGTAACCCTATGCCCCCCTATAGCCCCCTATAACAGGGTCCTAGTGCCCCCCCCCCTATAACCCCCGGTAACAGGGTCCTAGTGCCCCCCTATAGCCCCGGTAACGGGGTCCATATAGTAACCCCTATGCCCCCCTATAGCCCCGGTAACGGGGTCCTAGTGCCCCCCTATAGCCCCGGTAAGTGCCCCCCTATAGGGTGGCTCCCTATCCTAGTGCCCCCCTATAGCTCCGGCTCCTAGTGCCCCCCTATAGCGCCGGTAACTGGGTCCTAGTGCCCCCCTATAGCCCCGGTAACAGGGTCCTAGTGCCCCCCTATAGCCCCGGTAACGGGGTCCTATAGCTCCCCCTATGCCCCCCTATAGCCCCGGTAACGGGGTCCTAGTGCCCCCCTATAGCCGGTAACAGGGTCCTATGCCCCCCTATAACAGGGTCCTATAGTGCATAACCCCCTATAGCCCCGGTAACAGGGTCCTAGTGCCCCCCTATAGCCCCGGTAACAGGGTCCGCCCCCCTATAGCCCCGGTAACAGGCCCCCTATGCCCCCCTATAGCCCCGGTAACGGGGGGTCCCGTAACAGGGCTAGCCCCCCTATAGCTCCCGGTAACGGGGTCCTAGTGCCCCCCATAACCCCCCTATAGCCCCGGTAACAGGGTCCCAGTGCCCCCCTATAGCCCCATAGGGTCCTATAGCCCCCCTATAGCTCCGGTAACAGGGTCCTAGTGCCCCCCTATAGCCCCGGTAACGGGGTCCTAGTGCCCCCCTATAGCCCCGGTAACAGGGTCCTAGTGCCCCCCTATAGCTCCGGTAACAGGGTCCTAGGTAACGGGGTCCTAGTGCCCCCCTATAGCCCCGGTAACAGGGTCCTAGTGCCCCCCTAACATAGTGCCCCCCTCTATCCCCCGGTAACGGGGCCCCCCTATAGCCCCTAACAGTGCCCCCCTATAGCCCCGGTAACGGGGTCCTAGTGCCCCCCTATAGCCCCGGTAACGGGGTCCTAGTGCCCCCCTATAGCTCCGGTAACGGGGTCCTAGTGCCCCCCTATAGCCCCGGTAACAGGGTCCTAGTGCCCCCCTATAGCTCTGGTAACAGGGTCCTAGTGCCCCCCTATAGCCCCGGTAACGGGGTCCTAGTGCCCCCCTATAGCCCCGGTAACAGGGTCCTAGTGCCCCCCTATAGCCCCGGTAACGGGGTCCTAGTGCCCCCCTATAGCCCCGGTAACGGGGTCCTAGTGCCCCCCTATAGCCCCGGTAACAGGGTCCTAGTGCCCGCCTGCTCCATCACTGCTTAACCTGGCCCTAACTGAGCCCTCCCCGGTTGGGAATCAGATTCCTGCTTTCGGGAATGCCTCGGGCCTTCCCCTGCCCCACTGCTCCACGGCGCTTTGGGCCCTGGGTTTGGATCCAGTGCTTCGGGCCCCGCATTTCCCACTGGGATCTGGTCCATGGAGTTAAGGCTTCAGGTCTTTCCTTGGGGTGAGCCCTGTCCGGGTGCCCTCGGCATTCCAGACGTCGGGAAAACCCCCCTAATTCCCAGGATCCCCTGGTCCCTTCGCCGGGAGCGAGGTCGGGATGTGAAGGCGCCTCCAGAACCCCCAGGAAAGGGCTTGGGTTTAGCTCCATTGACCGGAATGATGGGAACCAGAACGGGAATGAAGGGGATGGGGTCCTGGAATGCCGTGGGCTGGGAGGGAGCCCCGAGCTCAACCGGTTCCAATGGGGAAACCTCCCATTGGGAGGAGAAGAGGGCGGCATTCCCAGTAGGGAATAGGGACAGGAGTGACCTGGATGAGCTTCCGTTCCGTGGCTCCATGCTTTGGCTGGGAATTCCCTATGGAAAGAGGAAAGGGGTGGAAACGCTTCCCGGGTCCTGGCCTCGGGTCCGCGTCCATGGAAACCCTGCTAAGGAGCCCTCTTCCCAGTGGGTTTCCTATGGGAAGGCTCCCATGCCCCCACTTCCCATTGGGATCCTAAATCCATTGGGAAAGGGCAGGGAATGGGAATCGCGCTGGGAAAACCGGGCCAAAAGAAAGAGGGAGCGATGGTAAACGTCCCGCTCCGTGTGTGTGTGTGTGGGGGGGGAGTGAAAAGTGGGAATTGCCTTGTGTTCCTTGGGGAATCCTTTGGGATGAAGGCAGCTCCAGGCTGACCTGGGTCCAGCGGGGAGCCGGTGGCATCCGTAACCCGGGTCCTTCCCATAGGGAAAGAGGGATTCTCCTTGTGGGAAGCGGGGTGCCAGGGGATGCCGAAGGTCTCCTGCCATAGGGGTTATCCCCATATCCCATAAAGCCTTGGGATGAAGCGGGAACATGGAATGGGAAAGCTCCCGATGGGAGCATCCCGAAGCTCCCAATGGAGGAATTACCAAATTCCCAATGGGAACATCCTAAAGCTCCCAGTGGAGCCATCCCGAAGCTCCCAATGGGAACATCCCGTAATTCCCAGTGGAGAAATCCCAGAAAATTCCCAATGGGAACATATCCGAATTCCCAATGGAGCCATCCCAAAGCTCCCAGTGGGAACACCCCAGAGGGAACATCCCAAAGCTCCCGGTGGAGCCATCCCAGAATTCCCAATGGAGAAATCCCAGGGAATTCCCAATGGGAACTTATCCGAATTCCCAATGGAGCCATCCCAAAGCTCCCAATGGAGCCATTGCAGAATTCCCGATGGAGCTATCCCAGAATTCCCAGTGTGAACATCCTGGAATTCTCAGTGGAGAAATCCCAGAAAATTCCCAATGGGAACATCCTGGAATTCCCAATGGAGGCATCCCAGAATTCCCAGTGGGAACATCCCGGAATTCCCAATGGAGAAATCCCAGAAAATTCCCAATGGGAACATATCTGAATTCCCAATGGAGCCATCCCAGGGCTCCTGATGGGAACATCCCAGAATTCCCAATGGAACCATCCCAGAATTCCCAGTGGAGCAATCCCAGAAAATTCCCAGTGGGAACATCCCAGAATTCCCAGTGTAGAAACCCCAGGGAATTCCCACTGGGAACCTCTCAGTGCTCCCGACGGAGCCATCCCCGAATTCCCAATGGAGGAACTCTTCCCCCCAGTGAAGAACGTGCCCCCGGGGCCTCGGTGCTGAGCCAGACTCTTCCCCGTTCCCAGCCCGAGCGGGAAGAAGTTCCGGAGCAAGCCGCAGCTGGCGCGGTACCTTGGGAATTCCGTGGACCTGAGCAGCTTCGACTTCCGCACGGGGAAGATGATGCCCAGCAAGCTGCAGAAGAACAAGCAGAAGCTCCGCACCGAGGCTCTCAACCCCACCAAGGTTTTGGGGGGGGTTTCCACCCCCTCTTTTCCGGGCCCTGTTCCCAGAGCCTGGAATTGATTCCCTTTGGGATCCTGCTTGGGAGCCTTGGGTCCTGCCGGGAACCCCCTTGGAGCCCGCTTGGATCCTCTTTCCCCTCTGTTTTCCCATAGGGATCCACTCCCATTCCCTCTTTTCCCATAGGGATCCACTCCCATTCCCTCTTTCCCTGCTGTTTTCCCATAGGGATCCACTCCCGTTCCCTCTTTTCCCATAGGGATCCACTCCCGTTCCCTCTTTTCCCGCTCTTTTCCCGTAGGGATCCACTCCCGTTCCCTCTTTTCCCATAGGGATCCACTCCCGTTCCCTCTTTTCCCATAGGGATCCACTCCCGTTCCCTCTTTCCCCGCTCTTTTCCCATAGGGATCCACTCCCGTTCCCTCTTTCCCTGCTGTTTTCCCATAGGGATCCACTCCCGTTCCCTCTTTTCCCTCTCTTTTCCCATAGGGATCCACTCCCGTTCCCTCTTTCCCCGCTGTTTTCCCATAGGGATCCACTCCCGTTCCCTCTTTTCCCATAGGGATCCACTCCCGTTCCCTCTTTCCCCGCTGTTTTCCCATAGGGATCCACTCCCATTCCCTCTTTTCCCATAGGGACCCACTCCCGTTCCCTCTTTCCCTGCTGTTTTCCCATAGGGATCCACTCCCGTTCCCTCTTTCCCCGCTGTTTTCCCATAGGGATCCACTCCCGTTCCCTCTTTTCCCGCTCTTTTCCCATAGGGATCCACTCCCGTTCCCTCTTTTCCCTCTCTTTTCCCATAGGGATCCACTCCCGTTCCCTCTTTCCCCGCTGTTTTCCCATAGGGATCCACTCCCGTTCCCTCTTTTCCCTCTCTTTTCCCATAGGGATCCACTCCCGTTCCCTCTTTCCCCGCTGTTTTCCCATAGGGATCCACTCCCGTTCCCTCTTTTCCCATAGGGATCCACTCCCGTTCCCTCTTTCCCCGCTGTTTTCCCATAGGGATCCACTCCCGTTCCCTCTTTTCCCATAGGGATCCACTCCCGTTCCCTCTTTTCCCTCTCTTTTCCCATAGGGATCCACTCCCGTTCCCTCTTTCCCCGCTGTTTTCCCATAGGGATCCACTCCCATTCCCTCTTTTCCTGCTGTTTTCCCATAGGGACCCACTCCCGTTCCCTCTTTTCCCAATGTTTTCCCATAGTATCCATTCCCGTTCCCTCTTTTCCCACTGTTTCCCATAGGGATCTATTCCCATTCCCTCTTTCCCCATAGGGATCCACTCCCCTTCCCTCTGTTTCCCATAGGGATCTACCCCATAGGGATCCACCCCATAGGGACCCACATCGTTCTCTCTGTCCCCATAGGGATCTATTCCCATTCCCTCTTTCCCCATAGGGACCCACCCCGTTCCCTCTGTTTCCCATAGGGATCTACCCCATAGGGATCCACCCCATAGGGACCCACCCTGTTCCCTCTGTTTCCCATAGGGATCTACCTCATAAGGACCCACCCCATAGGGACCCACTCCCCTTCCCTCTCTCCCCATAGGGACCCACCTTGTTCCCTCTGTTTCCAATAGGGACCCACCCCATAGGGACCCACCCTGCTCCCTCTGTCCCCATAGGGATCCACCCCCTTCCCTCTGTTTCCCATAGGGACCCACCCCCTAGGGACCCACTCCCCTCTCTCTCTGTCCCCCTAGGGACCCCCCCCATAGGGACCCACCCCATAGGGACCCACTCCCCTCTCCCTCTGTCCCCATAGGGACCCCCCCCATAGGGACCCACCCCATAGGGACCCCCCCCATAGGGACCCACCCCATAGGGACCCACTCCCCTCTCCTCTGTCCCCATAGGGACCCACCCCATAGGGACGCACCCCGTAGGGACCCACTCCCCTCTCCTCTGTCCCCATAGGGACCCCCCCCATAGGGACCCACCCCATAGGGACGCACCCCATAGGGACCCCCCCATAGGGACGCACCCCATAGGGACCCCCCCCATAGGGACGCACCCCATAGGGACCCACTCCCCTCTCCTCTGTCCCCATAGGGACCCACCCCATAGGGACGCACCCCATAGGGACCCACTCCCCTCTCCTCTGTCCCCATAGGGACGCACCCCCCCCTCTCCTCTGTCCCCATAGGGCAAGCCAGACCTCAACACCAGCCTCCCCATCCGCCAGACCGCCTCCATCTTCAAGCAGCCCGTTACCAAGGTAACCAATCACCCCGGCAACAAGGTGCGGGCGGACCCGCAGCGGGTGATGGACCAGCCGCGCCAGGTGAGCATCCCATGGGATGAGCGTCGGGATCCCATCAAACCCCGAGCCCCGAGCCCGGCCTGCACCAGGAACACGCCGATTCCCCGCGGTTCTGTGGGGTTGGTCCTGAGGATGAGGAGGGAAAGCGGGAGTTTTCCCTATGGAATGAGTGGTGTGCATCCCGGGATGGGATCTGTGTGGGATCCCGATGGGTGTGCATCCCGGGATGGGATCCGTGTGGGATCCCAATGGGTGTGCATCCCGGGATGGGATCCGTGTGGGATCCCAATGGGTGTGCATCCCGGGATGGGATCTGTGTGGGATCCCAATGGGTGTGCATCCAGGATGGGATCTGTGTGGGATCCCAATGGGTGTGCATCCAGGATGGGATCTGTGTGGGATCCCAATGGGTGTGCATCCAGGATGGGATCTGTGTGGGATCCCAATGGGTGTGCATCCCGGGATGGGATCTGTGTGGGATCCCAATGGGTGTGCATCCTGGGATGGGATTTGTGTGGGATCCCAATGGGTGTGCATCCAGGATGGGATCTGTGTGGGATCCCAATGGGTGTGCATCCCGGGATGGGATCTGTGTGGGATCCCAATGGGTGTGCATCCAGCAATGGGATCTGTGTGGGATCCCAATGGGTGTGCATCCCGGGATGGGATCTGTGTGGGATCCCAATGGGTGTGCATCCAGGATGGGATCTGTGTGAGATCCCAATGGGTGTGCATCCAGCAATGGGATCTGTGTGGGATCCCAATGGGTGTGCATCCAGGATGGGATTTGTGTGGGATCCCAATGGGTGTGCATCCCGGGATGGGATCTGTGTGGGATCCCAATGGGTGTGCATCCAGGATGGGATCTGTGTGGGATCCCAATGGGTGTGCATCCCGGGATGGGATCTGTGTGGGATCCCAATGGGTGTGCATCCAGCAATGGGATCTGTGTGGGATCCCAATGGGTGTGCATCCAGGATGGGATTTGTGTGGGATCCCAATGGGTGTGCATCCAGCAATGGGATTTGTATGGGATCCCAATGGGTGTGCATCCAGGATGGGATCTGTGTGGGATCCCAATGGGTGTGCATCCAGCAATGGGATTTGTATGGGATCCCAATGGGTGTGCATCCAGGATGGGATCTGTGTGGGATCCCAATGGGTGTGCATCCCGGGATGGGATCTGTGTGGGATCCCAATGGGTGTGCATCCCGGGATGGGATCTGTGTGGGATCCCAATGGGTGTGCATCCCGGGATGGGATCTGTGTGGGATCCCAATGGGTGTGCATCCCGGGATGGGATCTGTGTGGGATCCCAATGGGTGTGCATCCCGGGATGGGATCTGTGTGGGATCCCAATGGGTGTGCATCCCGGGATGGGATCTGTGTGGGATCCCAATGGGTGTGCATCCAGGATGGGATCTGTGTGGGATCCCAATGGGTGTGCATCCAGGATGGGATCTGTGTGGGATCCCAATGGGTGTGCATCCAGGATGGGATCTGTGTGGGATCCCAATGGGTGTGCATCCCGGGATGGGATCTGTGTGGGATCCCGATGGGTGTGCATCCAGGATGGGATCTGTGTGGGATCCCAATGGGTGTGCATCCAGGATGGGATCTGTGTGGGATCCCAATGGGTGTGCATCCAGCATGGGATCTGTGTGGGATCCCAATGGGTGTGCATCCCGGGATGGGATCCGTGTGGGATCCCAATGGGTGTGCATCCCGGGATGGGATTTGTGTGGGATCCCAATGGGTGTGCATCCCGGGATGGGATCTGTGTGGGATCCCAATGGGTGTGCATCCCGGGATGGGATCTGTGTGGGATCCCAATGGGTGTGCATCCAGGATGGGATCTGTGTGGGATCCCAATGGGTGTGCATCCAGGATGGGATCTGTGTGGGATCCCAATGGGTGTGCATCCAGCAATGGGATTTGTGTGGGATCCCAATGGGTGTGCATCCCGGGATGGGATTTGTGTGGGATCCCAATGGGTGTGCATCCCGGGATGGGATTTGTGTGGGATCCCAATGGGTGTGCATCCCGGGATGGGATTTGTGTGGGATCCCAATGGGTGTGCATCCCGGGATGGGATTTGTGTGGGATCCCAATGGGTGTGCATCCCGGGATGGGATTTGTGTGGGATCCCAATGGGTGTGCATCCCGGGATGGGATCTGTGTGGGATCCCAATGGGTGTGCATCCCGGGATGGGATCTGTGTGGGATCCCAATGGGTGTGCATCCAGGATGGGATCTGTGTGGGATCCCAATGGGTGTGCATCCAGCAATGGGATCTGTGTGGGATCCCAATGGGTGTGCATCCCGGAGTGGGATCTGTGTGGGATCCCAATGGGTGTGCATCCCGGAGTGGGATCTGTGTGGGATCCCAATGGGTGTGCATCCAGCATGGGATCTGTGTGGGATCCCAATGGGTGTGCATCCCGGGATGGGATCCATGTGGGATCCCAATGGGTGTGCATCCAGCATGGGATCTGTGTGGGATCCCAATGGGTGTGCATCCCGGGATGGGATCCATGTGGGATCCCAATGGGTCTCCGTTGTCCTCCCGCAGCCCTGGCGTCCCCATGGCCCTTTGTGCGCTGCACCCAACGCCCCCAGAGCAATTCCAGACACCTGGAATGCTGCCGCAGCACCCACCAGGGGTTGGAATCCCACCCAGGCTCCCCCTAAATCCCGGTGGGAAAGGGGAAGGAGCAGCTTTGGGACGGCCCCAAGGCCTCCCTCGGTCCCGTCGCATCCCATTCGCATCCCGTGGCCTTTCCGAATCCCTGCACTTGTCCGTGTTGGGAATACCCTGGAATGCTGCTCCCTGCTCCAAGCTGGAATGCTGTGATGGGTGTAGGTGGGAGAGGTGGGACCAGGAGCATGGGAAAAGTGGGAAAGCAAGGAATTCCTGTTGGTATTCCCGGGATCCCAGCGCTTCCCAAGCAGGGTTCTGTGCTCCCCAGTGGTACCCAGCGGGATGCAGGAGCATCCTTCCTGCCCGCATCCATGGATGCATGCACGCACAAGCATCCGGGTTTTCCCCTTTTCCCAAGGGAAAACCTCTTTTCCTGCTGGGATCTGTTGGGATAAGGCAGGGAAAAGGTGCTGGAAGGCTTTATTCCCTATGGAGCACTGATCCCTTAGGTGCATGGATCAGTGTTGGGATGGGGGCCGGGATGCTGAGCTCCGCTCCCACTTCCGTGTCCTTCCTCCCTCGTGCTCCAACCCTTGGCCCCAAATCCCATGGGAAATCCTGGCCCCAAATCCCATGGGAAATCCTGGCCCCAAATCCCACGGGAAATTCTGACCCCAAATCCCATGGGAAATCCTGGCCCCAAATCCCATAGGAAATCCTGGCTTCTGTTGCTCTAGGTCCCGTCACCTTCCTCTCCTGCTAACGTGTGGACCCCCGTTCTCAGGGGCAGCATTCCCAGCATTCCCTAAGCATTCCCCTTGGCTTTCCCCCTTACGCAGGGATCCCAGCTCCTCTGACGTCGGGAATCCCTTCCGGGACCTGGGAATGGTGGGGAGCCATCCTCACTGATGCCGAAGGGGAGACCCAAACCTTGGTCCTCCTTGACTGTGCTATCCATAGGGACGAATCCATAGGGACAAATCCATAGGGACAGATCCATTGGGACAAATCCACTGGGACAAATCCATAGGGATAAATCCGTAGGGATAAATCCGTAGGGATGAATCCATAGGGATAAATCCATAGGGACAAATCCATAGGGATAAGTCCATAGGGACAAATCACAAATCCATACAGGACAAATCCATAGGGATAAATCCATACAGGACAAATCCATACAGGACAAATCTATAGGGATAAATCCATAGGAACAAATCCATAGGGACAAATCCATAGGGATAAATCCATAGGGATAAATCACAAATCCATAGGCACAAATCCATAGGGATAAATCCATACGGGACAAATCCATAGGGACAAATCCATAGGGACAAATCCATAGGGTCATCCCATCCCATCCCACCCCATTCCATCCATCCCATCCCATCCCATCCCATCCCACCCCATTCCATCCATCCCATCCCATCCCATCCCATCCCATCCCAGGACCAGCTGCAATCTCTGCTTTTCACTGATTCATCCCTATATAAATCCCCCCCCCCCCCCCCAATAACATCCAGGTGTTAAGGATAGGGATGCTTTTCCATGAGGAATAATGGACTTGGGATGGATTCCTTTGGAGCAACGCCTTCCCGCCGGCTCCTGTTGGCTTGGATCCCCCCAAGGGAGAGGAGCAGCTCCCAATGGGAAAGGATTCCTGCCTTTGGGATGGGGAACCTGCTCCGGCGCGGGGAGAAGCAGGGATCGAGGGATGGCCACAGGGGTCCCTTGTGGGGTCCGTCACAGCCCGGCGTTCCTGAAGGTGGGATGTGCCCTGTCGGGAAGGGGAGGATGCGGGGGTGGGCGTCTTATGGGACATCTTGGGGCATCTTATGGAGCATTTTGGGGCATTTTGGGGTATTTTGGGGCATCTTGGGGCATTTTGTGGCATCTTATGGGGCATTTTGGGGTATTTTGGGGCATCTTTTGGCATCTTGGGGCATCTTGGGGCATCTTGGGGCATTTTGGGGCATCTTGGGGGCATCTTATGGAGCATCTTGGGGCATTTTGGGGCATCTTATGGGGTGTCTGAGGGCATCTTGGGGCATCTTGGAGCGTCTTATAGGGCATCTTAGGGCATCTTGGGCAATCTTGGGGCATTTTGGGGCATCTTGGGGCATCTTGGGGCATCTTGAGGCATTTTAGGGTATCTTATGGGGCATCTTGGGGCATCTTATGGAGCATCTTGGGGCATCTTGGGGTATTTTGGGGCATCTTGGGGCATCTTGGGGCATCTTATGGAGCATCTTGGGGCATTTTGGGGTATTTTGGGGCATCTTGGGGCGTCTTATGGGGCATCTTGGGGCGTCTTGGGGCATCTTATGGGGCGTCTTAGGGCATCTTGGGGAATCTTAGGGCATTTTAGGGCATCTTGGGGCATTTTGGGGTATTTTGGGGCATCTTATGGAGCATCTTGGGGCATCTTGGGGCATCTTATGGGGCATTTTGGGGCATTTTGGGGTATTTTGGGGCATCTTGGGGCATTTTGGGGCATTTTGGGGCATCTTATGGAGCATCTTGGGGCATCTTTTGGTATCTTGGGGCATCTTGGGGCATTTTGGGGCATCTTATGGGGTGTCTGAGGGCATCTTGGGGCATCTTGGAGCGTCTTATAGGGCATCTTAGGGCATCTTGGGCAATCTTGGGGCATTTTGGGGCATCCTGGGGCATCTTGGGGCATTTTGGGGCATCTTATGGAGCATCTTTTGGCATCTTGGGGCATCTTAGGGCATCTTATGGGGTGTCTTGGGGCATCTTGGGGCATTTTGGGGCATTTTGGGGCATCTTGGAGCGTCTTATGGAGCATCTTGGGGCATCTTATGGGGCGTCTTAGGGCATTTTAGGGCATCTTGGGGCATCTTATGGGGTGTCTTAGGGCATCTTGGGGAATCTTAGGGCATTTTGGGACATCTTGGGGCATCTTATGGGGCATTTTATGGAGCATCCTGGGGCATTTTATGGGGCATGTTGGGGCATCTTATGGGGAATCTTAGGGCATCTTGGGGCATCTTATGGGGCATCTTGGGGCATTTTGGGGCATCTTGGGGGCATCTTGGGGCATCTTATGGAGCATCTTAGGGTATCTTGGGGCATCTTTTGGCATCTTGGGGCATCTTAGGGCATCTTATGGGGTGTCTTGGGGCATCTTGGGGCATTTTGGGGCATCTTGGGGGCATCTTGGGGCATCTTGGGGCATTTTGGGGCATCTTGGAGTGTCTTATGGAGCGTTTTGGGGCATCTTATGGGGCGTCTTAGGGCATCTTGGGGCATTTTAGGGCATTTTGGGGCATCTTGGGGCATCTTATGGCCCTGTGTGGAGCATCCCGATCCCTGCAGCATCCCCGTCCCCGTGGGTCCCAGTATTCCCTCTCCGGGCTCATCCCCGTCCGTACAGGGAAGCGAAGGAGCAAATCCCGGTGCTGGGAATGGGGTCCCTCCTCCAGACCCTGTTCTTGCACCCATAGCTTATAGGGGCTGTGGTTCCGTGTCCTATGGAGGCAGAGCCTGGATCTGGGGACCCTGGGCCATGGAATAGGGAAGGAAAACGGGAATAAAGGGGGAATTCCTCCAGTGGGGGTGATGCTGGGGGAGTGGGAATCGGTGGGGCACCGACTGGATGGGATCCTGGCTTCCTGTGTCCGAATCCCGGTGTTCCTTTCCCTTGGGATCGTGGCTCACTGGGGTGCGTTGGAAGGGAGGCGGAACGAGGCGCAGAGGGGGAGCTGTCGGGAATGGGATCTCCGGATGGGGCTGTGGGATCCGTGTGGGATCCGTGGATCCAAACCGCATCCCGAATGCATCCCATTGTCCAGAGGGGAGCGCTTAAGGGGGTGCTGCAGTGTTGGGGGGGGGGATCCCTCTGCATCCCGATCCCTGCGTCCTGATCCCTGCATCCCATCCCCCTGCATCCTGATCCCCGCATCCTGATCCCTGCATCCCGATCCCTGCATCCCATCCCTCTGCATCCTGATCCCTCTATCCCAATCCCTCCGTCCCGATCCCTGCATCCGATCCCTCTGCATCCTGATCCCTGCATCCTGATCCCTGCATCCCATCCCCCTGCATCCTGATCCCCGCATCCTGATCTCTGCATCCCGATCCCTGCATCCCATCCCCCTGCATCCTGATCCCTGCATCCCGATCCCTGCATCCCATCCCTCTGCATCCTGATCCCTCTATCCCAATCCCTCCGTCCCGATCCCTGCATCCAATCCCTCTGCATCCTGATCCCCACATCCTGATCCCTGCATCCCAATCCCTGCATCCCAATCCCTCTGCATCCCGATCCCTGCATCCCGATCCCTGCATCCTGATCCCCGCATCCCGGTCCCCACATCCCGATCCCTGCATCCTGATCCCCGCATCCCAATCCCCGCATCCCAATCCCTCTGCATCCCGATCCCTGCATCCCGATCCCCGCATCCTGATCCCTGCATCCCAATCCCTGCACCCCAATCCCTCTGCATCCCGATCCCTGCATCCTGATTCCTGCGTCCCGATCCCTCCATCCCAATCCCTGCATCCCATCCCTCCATCCTGATCCCTGCATCCTGATCCCTGCATCCCAATCCCTGCATCCCAGTCCCTGTGTCCTGATCCCTGCATCCTGATCCCTGCATCCCAATCCCTCCATCCCAATCCCTACATCCTGATCCCTGCATCCCAATCCCTGCATCCCAATCCCTGCATCCCAATCCCTGCATCCCAATCCCTGCATCCTGATCCCTGCATCCCAATCCCTGCATCCCAGTCCCTGTGTCCTGATCCCTGTGTCCCGATCCCTGCATCCCGATCCCTGCATCCCAGTGATGCTGTGCTGTATCCACAGTGTTGGGTGGGTATCCCTGCATCCCGATCCCTGCATCCCAATCCCTGCATCCCACCCCTCTGCGTCCCGATCCCTGCATCCCGATCCCCCCATCCCAATCCCTGCGCCCCATTGATGCCATCCCATAGCTGCAGGGACAGGACACCGGGAATGCCGTTAACCCTCCGGAGGGCACACTGGGATGAGCTCTTCGTCTCCCGCTCTTCCCTATGGATTCCATGGGTCCCTTCCACCCCATCCCGCTCCGTGGGCCCTTCCACGGCTTCCCATGGGATGCGAAGCCCGATCGGGGAGGGAATTCCATGGATCCTATGGGTGGGAAGGATCTGATCCCGGACCCAGCGCCCGCCCACGCCCCACCATGACCCCATTCCCGACGCCTGGAATATCGCCCGTGGGGCTCCCCCCTCTCGTCCTGACGCCGTTTTGGGGCTGAACGCGGCGTTTTTGGGGTGGGGTTTAATCTTTGGGGTCATTTTTAAGGGAAATCCGCACGTTTTTGGGTTTGGGGTTTGTTTTTGGGGTCGTTTTTAAGGGAAATCCGCGTGTTTTTGGGTTTGGGTTTGTTTTTGGGGTCGTTTTTAAGGGAAATCCGCGCGTTTTTGGGTTTGGGTTTGGTTTTGGGGTCGTTTTTAAGGGAAATCCGCGCGTTTTTGGGTTTGGGTTTGTTTTTGGGGTCGTTTTTAAGGGAAATCCGCGCATTTTTGGGTTTGGGGTTTGTTTTTGGGGTCGTTTTTAAGGGAAATCCGCGCGTTTTTGGGGTTTGGGGTTTGTTTTGGGGTCGTTTTTTAGGGAAATCCGCGCGTTTTTGGGGTTGGGGTTTAATTTTTGGGGTCGTTTTTTAGGGAAATCCGTGCGTTTTTGGGTTTGGGGCTTGTTTTTGGGGTCGTTTTTAAGGGAAATCCGCGCGTTTTTGGGGTTTGGGGTTTGTTTTGGGGTCGTTTTTTAGGGAAATCCGCGCGTTTTTGGGGTTGGGGTTTAATTTTTGGGGTCGTTTTTTAGGGAAATCCGCGCGTTTTTGGGTTTGGGGTTTGTTTTTGGGGTCGTTTTTAAGGGAAACCCGCACGTTTTTGTTTTTTTTTTTCATTCCTGAATTTTTGGGGTCGTTTTTAAGGGAAATCCGCGCGATTTTGGGTTTGGGTTTGTTTTTGGGTCGTTTTTAAGGGAAATCCGCGCGTTTTTGGGTTTGGGTTTGTTTTTGGGTCGTTTTTAAGGGAAATCCGCGCGTTTTTGGGTTTGGGTTTGGTTTTGGGGTCGTTTTTAAGGGAAATCCGCGCGTTTTTGGGTTTGGGTTTGGTTTTGGGGCCGTTTTTAAGGGAAATCCGCGCGTTTTTGGGTTTTGGTTTGTTTTTGGGGTGGTTTTTAAGGGAAATCCGCGCGTTTTTGGGTTTGGGTTTGTTTTTGGGGTGGTTTTTAAGGGAAATCCGCGCGTTTTTGGGTTTGGGTTTGTTTTTGGGTCGTTTTTAAGGGAAATCCGCGCGTTTTTGGGTTTGGGGTTTAATTTTTGGGGTCGTTTTTAAGGGAAATCCGCGCGTTTTTTGGGTTTGGGTTTGTTTTTGGGGCCGTTTTTAAGGGAAATCCGTGCGTTTTTGGGTTTTGGTTTGTTTTTGGGGTGGTTTTTAAGGGAAATCCGCGCGTTTTTGGGTTTGGGTTTGTTTTTGGAGTCGTTTTTAAGGGAAACCCGCGCGTTTTTGGGTTTGGGGCTTGTTTTGGGGGTCGTTTTTAAGGGAAATCCGCGCGTTTTTGTTTTTTTTTTCATTCCCGAATTTTTGGGTTTGTTTTTAAGGCAAACCCGTGCGTTTTCGGGTTTGGTTTTTTTCATTCCGAGTTTTTGGTGTCGTTTTTAAGGGAAACCCGCGCGTTTTTGGGTTTGGGTCTGTTTTTGGGGTGGTTTTTAAGGGAAATCCGCGCGTTTTTGGGTTTGGGTTTGTTTTTGGGGCCGTTTTTAAGGGAAATCCGCGCGTTTTTGGGTTTGGGTTTGTTTTTGGGGTCGTTTTTAAGGGAAATCCGCGCGTTTTTGGGTTTGGGTCTGTTTTTGGGGTCGTTTTTATGGGAAATCCGCGCGTTTTTGGGTTTGGGGTTTTTTTGGGGCGGTTTTTAAGGGAAATCCGCGCGTTTTTGCGTTCCCGTTGCAGCTGTTCTGGGAGAAGCGTCTCCAGGGTCTCAGCGCCTCCGACGTGAGCGAGGAGATCATCGGGGCCATGGAGCTGCCCAAGGGGCTGCAAGGTACCGCGGAGCCGTGGGGCTGACCCACAGGGTGTGGGGCCGCGGAATGGGATCCGAGCGGGGCTGGGGGTGAGGGGGGGGGCTCAGAGCGGGTTCTGGTGGTGTAGGGGGGTGCTGTAGGGGGCTGTAGGGGGCTATAGGGGTGTTATAGGGATGCTATAGGGATGGTGGAGGGATGGGGCAATCTGTGGTGAAGGATGAGCCCCATGGATGCAGGATGAGCCCCACAGGTGCAGGATGAGCCTCATGGATGCAGGATGAGCCCCATAGGGTGCAGGATGAGCCCCACAGGATGAGCCCCATGGATTCAGGATGAGCCCCACAGGATGAGCCCCACAGGTGCAGGATGAGCCCCATTGATGCAGGATGAGCCCCACAGGATTCAGGATGCGCCCCACAGGTGCAGGATGAGCCCCACAGGATGAGCCCCATGGATGCAGGATGAGCCCCACAGGATTCAGGATGCGCCCCACAGGTGCAGGATGAGCCCCACAGGATGAGCCCCACAGGTGCAGGATGAGCCCCATGGATGCGGGATGAGCCCCATAGGGTGCAGGATGAGCCCCACAGGTGCAGGATGAGCCCCATAGGGTGCAGGATGTGCCCCATGGATGCAGGATGAGCCCCACAGGTGCAGGATGAGTCCCATAGGGTGCAGGATGCGCCCCACAGGTGCAGGATGAGCCCCATAGGGTGCAGGATGTGCCCCATGGATGCAGGATGAGCCCCACAGGTGCAGGATGAGCCCCATGGATGCGGGATGAGCCCCATAGGGTGCAGGATGAGCCCCACAGGTGCAGGATGAGCCCCACAGGATGAGCCCCACAGGTGCAGGATGAGTCCCATAGGGTGCAGGATGCGCCCCACAGGTGCAGGATGAGCCCCATAGGGTGCAGGATGTGCCCCATGGATGCAGGATGAGCCCCACAGGGTGAGCCCCATAGGATTCAGGATGCGCCCCACAGGTGCAGGATGAGCCCCACAGGTGCAGGATGAGCCCCACGGGTGCAGGATGAGCCCCATGGATTCAGGATGCGCCCCCCAGGCGCCGGCTGCCGCTGACCCCTCCGCCCCACAGGTGTGGGTCCGGGGAGCACGGCGGACGCGGTGCTGCCGGCGGTGGCCAGCGCCCTGCACACGAGCTCAGCGCCAATCACGGGGCAGCTCTCGGCCGCCGTGGAGAAGAACCCGGCCGTGTGGTTGAACACGGCCCAGCCCCTCTGCAGGGCCTTCGTGGTCACGGACGACGACATCAGGTGCGTGACCCATGGCAACCTGACCCATAGCGACCTAACCCATGGGGATGTGACCCATAGCAACCTGACCCATAGCGGCAGTGACCCATGGGGATGTGACCCATAGCGACCTGACCCATAGCGACCTGACCCATGGCGACCTGACCCATAGCGGCAGTGACCCATAGCGACCTGACCCATAGCGGGTGTGACCCATAGCAACATGACCCATAGCAGGTGTGACCCATGGCGACCTGACCCATAGCGGGGGTGACCCATGGTGGAGGTGACCCATAGGGATGTGACCCATGGCGACCTGACCCATGGCGGGGGTGTCCCATGGCGGGGGTGACCCATGGCAACATGACCCATAGCAGCGGTGACCCATAGGGGGATGCACAGAGGTTACACAGGGGATGCTGAGGCGAGCGCTGTCCCGTCAGGGCCGGTCTGTGTTGCTGCAGCTCCATCTCTTGCCCTTCCCCATGGATCCCTGTATCCCGTCCCCCCCGTTCCCTCTGTGCCCCATGGCCCCGCTCCCTCCGGCTCCGCAGTGGGCGCAGGGCTCGGGGCCCCCCCATCCCGACCCGGTGTCCGTGGGGAGCTCCCGAGGGATCGATCCCGGTGCTGCCGTCCCCATAGGAAGCAGGAGGAGCGCGTGCAGCAGGTGAGGAAGAGGCTGGAGGAGGCGCTGATGGCCGACATCCTGTCCCGGGCAGCCGACACGGCGAGGGACGGGGACACGGATGTGGGGCACGGAGGCGAAGCGTAGGAACGGAGCAGGTGAGGGGTCCTGTGGGGCCCGGAGAGGCTGGGCCCTATGGGGGCGTCCCCACAGGGGATCGGTGGGGAGGGTGGAGAAGGGGCGTCCGTCCTGGTCCTTGGGGTCAATGGGGGGAAGCAGTCACAGGGATTCCCTTTCCCTGTTCCTTTGGGATCAATGGGGTGAAGCAGTCACAGGGATTCCCTTTTCCCATCCTTTGGGATCAATGGGGTGAAGCAGTCACAGGGATTCCCTTTTCCCATCCTTTGGGATCAATGGGGTGAAGCAGTCACAGGGATTCCCTTTCCCCATCCTTTGGGATCAATGGGGTGAAGCAGTCACAGGGATTCCCTTTTCCCATCCTTTGGGATCAATGGGGTGAAGCAGTCACAGGGATTCCCTTTTCCCATCCTTTGGGATCAATGGGGTGAAGCAGTCACAGGGATTCCCTTTCCCCGTTCCTTTGGGATCAATGGGGTGAAGCAGTCACAGGGATTCCCTTTTCCTGTTCCCTTTGGGATCAATGGGGTGAAGCAGTCACAGGGATTCCCTTTCCCTGTTCCTTTGGGATCAATGGGGTGAAGCAGTCACAGGGATTCCCTTTTCCTGTTCCTTTGGGATCAATGGGGTGAAGCAGTCACAGGGATTCCCTTTTCCTGTTCCTTTGGGATCAATGGGGTGAAGCAGTCACAGGGATTCCCTTTTCCTGTCCCTTTGGGATCAATGGGGTGAAGCAGTCACAGGGATTCCCTTTTCCCATCCTTTGGGATCAATGGGGTGAAGCAGTCACAGGGATTCCCTTTCCCTGTTCCTTTGGGATCAATGGGGTGAAGCAGTCACAGGGATTCCCTTTCCCTGTTCCTTTGGGATCAATGGGGTGAAGCAGTCACAGGGATTCCCTTTTCCTGTTCCTTTGGGATCAATGGGGTGAAGCAGTCACAGGGATTCCCTTTTCCTGTTCCTTTGGGATCAATGGGGTGAAGCAGTCACAGGGATTCCCTTTTCCTGTCCCTTTGGGATCAATGGGGTGAAGCAGTCACAGGGATTCCCTTTTCCCATCCTTTGGGATCAATGGGGTGAAGCAGTCACAGGGATTCCCTTTTCCTGTTCCCTGGGATCAATGGGGTGAAGCAGTCACAGGGATTCCCTTTCCCCATCCTTTGGGATCAATGGGGTGAAGCAGTCTCAGGGATTCCCTTTCCCCGTCCTTTGGGATCAATGGGGTGAAGCAGTGCTGCCCCATAGCATTCAGTGGTGATGTCTCTGTGGCTCCCTATGGGAAGAGCCTGATCCCGGTGCTGGAATCAGTGTCCATAAGGAATGCAGGTGCCCCGGATGCTCCCGGTGCCGCCGGGATCTGACCCTTGTGCTGTGGGCACGATCTGCTCGGCACCCCCCACATCCCGGCCTCTTCCGGGATTTGGGGATTTCCCATTGATTTTGGGGTTTTCTTCCCATCGAACCCTCAATTCCCGAGTGTTCCTGCCCTAAAACCCCACAGCTGTGGGTCACCCCAAGGGAAGCCGGCTGGTGAATGAGCGTGTAAACGTGTGTACACACACATACATATGGACCCACAAGCGGTGCATCGGTGTGTGGGGCTGGTGTGAAACACCCCGAAGGACCCAAGCCTCTGTGGGTTCCCAATGGGGCCCCACGACCCCTTAGGGTGGGTAAATTGCATAAACATGAGGTTGCCTCCCGCCTCATGCATATGCAAATCGCCTCCTGGTGGTGGGCGCTGTGGGTCGTTTTCCCTTGTTCCTTTCCTTTTCCTTCCTTGTGGGTCCCGTTTAGGCACTGGGTGCTCGGCCGCGTGTGGGGCCTGCCCCACTGCTGCCCCACAGCTGCGCCTCCAGCCCTGGCTCCTGTGCTTCTGCTTCGCCAGTCGCAGCGGGTGACCCTTGGTTCCCTGCCGCCCCTATTCCCATTGCAGGCGCCCATCCCGTTAAACCCCAGGCTTCTGGGGAAGCCCCTGCGATGTGGGGTGGAGGAGGCTGCGTGGGGCAGGGAATGGGTTCCATGTGGGGCCGAGCAGAGGGAGCCGCGCGCTTGCGCCGTGGCGCTCGTCCCGTGCGTTCCTATAGGGAAGAGTGAGCGTTCCCATCTCTTTCCCAGGCACCTTGGGCTGACTCATCCCGGGACGAGCTCCCTATGGGGCAGAGGCACTTTTCCCCTCCGCTCTTCCGCTGCAAGAGGAGACGGATACGGCTCTGGATAGCATTAAAACCAACGCCTTTTCTAGACGTTTTCCACCTATTTTTGATGTATATATCTCACCCGAAAAAGCGACTTTATTTTGTGCCCCGCGGCTCAAAAAAAAACCACCAAAAAAAAAACAAAAACACAAAAATCCCCTTTTTTTAAGTACCGGAACCTCACGTTTTTAACCCCAAAAAGCCGAGCTTTTGGTGACGCCGGGTTCCAAACCGAGCGGGACGCGACCGCCTGCACCGAGCACTTGTTCCTTCCCTGCGGATCCCGGCGAGGACGGAGGCGCTCCGGGCGTGCCGTGAGTGTACCTATGGGGTGGTGGTGGGGGGCGGTGGGGGTCACGTCCCCCCCCTGAGGAGAAGTAAAGGATGGATCCCGTTGGGAGCGCCGCGTGCGGAGTCGTGTCTGTGTCCCGGGGAGGGAGCACGGGGCACGGGGTGGGGTGAGTGGGGTGCGTTGGGAATGGGGCAGAGGGATGCGGAAAGTCGCGATGGGGAGTGGGTGCAGTGGGGCGCGGAGATGGGGTGGAGCGGCGTGTGGGGTACCCAGAGCATCCCTGGTACCCAGAGCATCCCCGGTACCCAGAGCATCCCTGGTACCTGCAGCATCCTTGATACCCAGAGCATCCCCGGTACCCAGAGCATTGCTGTACGCACAGCATCCCTGGTACCCAGAGCATCCCTGGTACCCAGAGCGTCCCTGGTACCCAGAGCGTCCCTGGTACCCAGAGCATCCCCTGTACCCGCAGCATCCCCGGTACGCAGAGCATCCCCAGTACCCACAGCATCCCCAGTACCTGCAGCATCCCTGGTACCTGCAGCATCCCTGATACCCAGAGCATCCCCGTACCCGCAGCATCCCTGGTACCCAGAGCATCCCCGGTACCCAGAGCATCCCCGGTACCCAGAGCATCCTCAATACCCAGAGCATCCCCATACCCACAGCATCCCTGGTACCCAGAGCATCCCTGGTACCCAGAGCATCCTCAATACCCGCAGCATCCCTGCTACCCACAGCATCCCTGGTACCCAGAGCATCTCTAGTACCCAGAGCATCCTCAATACCCGCAGCATCCCTGGTATCCGCAGCATCCCTGGTACCTACAGCATCCCTGGTACCCAGAGTATCCCTGGTACCCAGAGCATCCCTGGTCCCTAGAGCATCCTCAATACCCGCAGCATCCCTGGTACCCACAGCATCCCTGGTACCTGCAGCATCCCTGGTACCCAGAGCATCCTCAATACCCAGAGCATCCCCGTACCCACAGCATCCGTGGTACCCACAGCATCCCTGGTCCCCACAGCATCCCTGGTACCCAGAGCATCCCTGGTACCCGCAGCATCCCCGGTACCCACAGCATCCCTGGTACCCGCAGCATCCCCGGTACCCAGAGCATCCTCAACCCCCGCAGCCCCCCCGGTGCCCGCTGCAGCTGCTCCGGGTGCGGTTCCGGCCGCAGCCTCACGGGGGCGCCGCAGCACAAGGAAAGAGCCGGGTCCGTGCAGGGGGAGGGAGCGGGGCTCGTTTTGGGCTCATTTCTGTGGTTTTGGGCTCATTTCTGTGGGTTTGGGGTCATTTCCTTGGTTTTGGGGTCATTTCCCTGGGTTTGGGGTCATTTCCTTGGTTTTGGGGTCATTTCTGTGGGTTTGGGGTCATTTCCGTGGGTCTGAGCTCATTCCTGCGATTCTGGGCTCATTTCCTTGGTTTTGGGGTCATTTCTGTGGTTTTGGGGTCACTTCTGTGATTTTGGGCTCATTTCCTTGGTTTTAAGCTCATTTCTGTGGTTCTGGACTCATTTCCTTGATTTTGGGCTCGGTTCTGGGCTCATTCTGTGTGTTTTGGAGCTCATTTTGTGTGGTTTTTGGCTCATTTTGTGTGATTTTGGTCACATTTTGTGTGTTTTGGGGCTCATTTTGTGTGGTTTTTGGCTCATTTTGTGTGATTTTGGTCATTTTGTGTGTTTTGGGGCTCATTTTGTGTGGTTTTGGGCTCATTTTGTGTGATTTTGGGCTCATTTTGTGTGATTTTTGATCGCATTTTGTGTGTTTTGGGGCTCATTTTGTGTGATTTTGGGCTCATTTTGTGTGATTTTGGCTCATTTTGTGTGATTTTGGGGCTCATTTTGTGTGGTTTTGGGCTCATTTTGTGTGATTTTTGCTCACATTTTGTGTGTTTTGGGGTTCATTTTGTGTGATTTTGGGCTCATTTTGTGTGATTTTGGCTCATTTTGTGTGATTTTGGGGCTCATTTTGTGTGGTTTTGGGCTCATTTTGTGTGATTTTTGCTCACATTTTGTGTGTTTTGGGGTTCATTTTGTGTGATTTTGGGCTCATTTTGTGTGATTTTTGGGCTCATTTTGTGTGTTTTGGGGCTCATTTTGTGTGGTTTTTGTCTCATTTTGTGTGGTTTTGGTCTCATTTTGTGTGATTTTGAGTTCATTTTGTGTGATTTTGGGCTCATTTTGTGTGTTTTGGTCACATTTTGCGTGTTTTGGGGTTCATTTTGTGTGATTTTGGGTTCATTTTGAGTGATTTTGGTCTCATGTGGTTTTGATCTCATTTTGTGTGGTTTTGGGCTCATTTTGTGTGGTTTTGGTCACATTTTGTGTGGTTTTGGTCTCATTTTGTGTGGTTTTGGGCTCATTTTGTGTGATGTTGCTCACATTTTGTGTGGTTTTGGTCACATTTTGTGTGATTTTGGCACATTTTGTGTGATTTTGGTCTCATTTTGTGAGTTTTCTCTCATTTTGTGTGTTTTTGGTCACATTTTGTGTGATTTTGGGCTCATTTTGTGTG